ATTTTTGTTTCTTGGACCTCTCTTGGGGTGCCTCTCGGAACGTCTTGGGGTGCTTTTGGGAGCCTTTTGGCGCCTCTTGGCGGCATTTTGGCGCCTCCTGGAGCCTCTTGGGCCGGAAGCTCGGAATTCGAGGTTGGCTTTCTCCGTCTGGGACCCCTCTCGAACTCGTCTGGGGGCTCTCTTTGGCCGTCTTGGGGCCGTCCTGGGCCACTCGTGCGCAGCCATGGAGCGCTCCTGGAGGCCTCGTAGACTGTCTTGGGCGCCTTTTGGGCCGTCTTGGACGCGGTGAAAGCCCAAGAGGCGAACATGCGAAACATATACGCTTTCCCATAGGAATGGCACGATTTTTGCTTCTTGGGCCTCTCTTGGGCTGCCTCTCGGAGCGTCTTGGAGGCTTCTGGGACCTTCTTGGTGTCATAACAGGCGTCTTGGAAGGCATCTGGAGCCATCGGAGCGAGTTCCGAAGCCGCCTGCGAACGATCTTGGACGGCGTCCGGCGGTCCGACGAGCCTCCGGGCCCCCCGGGGCCCACATTTGTGGTCGAGGTCCCGGCCCCGGGCCCCCGGACCCGGTGCGCCGTTATATGTATAATAGTCGTCGTCGTCGTCGTCGTCGTCGTCGTCGTCTGCGTTGTCGGTGTGTGAGACGGCGGCGGCGTGCGGCGGGCTCGGCCGCGCCGTGGGGGGGTGGGGCGGGAAAGGCGGGGGAGGAGGGGAGTGGTGAGGATCGACAACCGAGCAGGGGGGGGACGCAGGAAAAGGAGGGAGGTTGGAAGAGAAGGGATGATGATGATGATGATGATGATGATGATGATGATGATGATGATGATGATGATGATGATGATGATGATGAGTAGGAGGAGGAGGAGGAGGAGGAGGAGGAGGGGGAGGGGGAGAAAAGGGAGAAGGATGAGGCGGAGGAGGAGGAGGAAAAGGAGGAGGAGGAGTAACAGCAGTATTGTGATGTTGTTGCTGTTGAGCCAGGAGGAAAAGGAGGAGGAGGAGGAGGAGGAACGGAGGATGACTGGGCCGCGCGCGGCAGGATGAACAGATGGAGACAGTGGGCAGACACAAGTTTTCTTCGTGGAGCTGGCGTTGCCCATGAGCGCGCGAAGACACCTGTCAATGGCGGAGGTCGTTAAGACTATGTTCCAAGCAAAGCCGCGCAAGATTGTCGTGCGTTCGCGAAGTGGAGAAGCGTTTGGGAACATCGCGGCTACTCGAAGCTCAAGCGGCCAGATGACCTTCTGGAATGGGATCAGTGACCAAACGTGTCAATCGATTTCCTGAGGCAGGTGGCGCTCAAAATTCCTTCGCGCGCGGCGAAAGGGCAGACTGGGATCGCGCCTGAGGCGTTCTGGCAGGTGAGCGATGCTGGGTTGGAGATGCTCAGCGTGCTATATTCCAAATGTGAGCTGCTAGGATTCTGGTCCAACAGTAGGTATCTCAATCTCGTGGTGCGTTTTTACCAAAGCCTGACGGAGGCAGCAGACTTATTGGGTTGGTTCACTCAGATGTTTTAGTTTGGTCGAGATGGCTCAAGCAACCGGACCTTCCATGCACTTGGGGAGCAGGAGGTGCAGGTCGATCGTCGAGTGCTTCTGCTTTCCAAGGCAATCTTACCGCGGAAGTTGCGGTGCTTACTGGTCACCGGCGCTGTTGGATGCGTGGAAGGAAGGCTTTCGAGAGCGTGTCACCGCAGGCGTTGATGCGGCGGGCAGTGGAAATGAAATTTCCAATTCGGCTTGCTTGGATGGTGCTGCAATGTCGCATGACGCCGGGGATTGCACGCGCGTGCGCGTCGTTGTCAGATAGCTTTATCTCATTGCAAGGGATCCTTGCTGGGTGCAGCCACAGTACGACGCTCCTCACAGTGTTGACGGCCAGCGCGCTCAGCAAGATGGGGCTCGCTGGAATGATTCCACGAGGTCTGGTCAACGATGCTTCGGCGCAGTGGGTCGGTCGTGTTCCAGGCAAAGTGACGCAGTTGTGGAAGGCGCTGAAGGGCTCCATGCATGATGTGCGCGAGGTAGGTCTGCTAATTCAAACCGACACATCAAGCTTCGTTTTCACGATCCGTGCTGGCGGCAGGGCCTCTCGTGCAGCAGCCGAATTCTGTGCCATGCCTGAGGGGAAGCGCGTGCGCAACGTTGGTCATGACTTGCATGGCAAGGCGGCGCGCCTCCACCACGATAGCCCGCCACCCTTGCAGCCGCGCCCCGAAGGCGTCGAAGCTCCACGTCAGAAACTCCGCTCACCATGGCTTCGCGCCCCGCTGCAGGTGAAAGCCCCGACCCCCACAATGCAGCGACCTTGAGCCCGACCGTCTGCTTGAAGGCAAAAACTCGGTTGATCCGATATTTGAAAACGCCTTTTCGCTTCCCTGCCACCTTGCGGGGCCCCCCATGCCCCGCCGAGGTCCCTGGGCGGGACCCCCCCAGCCACGTCCCCGGGGCTCCGGTGGCTCCGGGTGGCCGAAACCCTTGAAAAAAACACAGGGAAGGTAAGGCCCTGGGCCCCCTATGCCCTGCCGAGGTCCCTGGGCCGGACCCCCCCGGCCACGTTCTCTGGTATGCATTTATGTATACATACATACATATATCTATATATATATATATGTATAAAGATAGATAGATAGATGGATCGGTATATCAATGCACAGGTACATAATGTCTTTGTATACAGAGGGAGAAAGCGAAAGAGAGATACAGAGAGAACGAGAGAGAGAGAGAAACAGAGACTAGGATGGCGAGGGGGGGAAGCCAGATTGGCGCGCTCGCGCCATATCTGACGTCAGACCCCTCCCTCCAATCCCTAACCATGGAACTGAGCCCCCATCGATTCGCAGAGTCGGATGTCGCAGAACACATTGACCTCGAAGGAGCCACCTTGACCTGATTGTGGCAAACGCCAAAGGAGCCCACGAAAGTGGCGACGGTTGCGCAGTTCGCAGCCACCTGGGGAACAGCGAGGTCTCAAATAGATGCACGTGGCCCAGACTCCGCTGGACCTCCCAGGAACCCGCGAAAGTGGAGACGGTTGCGCAGGTCGCGGCCACCCAGGGAGCAGCGAGGTCTCAAATGCATGCGCGTGGCCCCCCGGCTCCGCTGACCTCCAAGGAACCCACGAAAGTAGCGACATCTGCGTAGATCGCAGCCTTCGACGGAGCGCACAGGATGCAGGAGGAGACAGGCGGAGGAGGAGGTAGGATGCGATGAAGGAAGGGCAGGGGGAAGGAGGAGGATACGGAGGGAGACGCGCGAACAGTGCTCTATTCAAAACAATAAACCAAGACAGGAGAGTTGGGAACATTACGCATCACGTACCTCACCCCTTCTTTACGCAAGGCGACTACTCATATGAACGCGGTCCTGACAGAAGCAACCACTGCGAAATATGCAGCGCTCTGAAATTCTTGGCCGAACAATGTCGGGCCACGCGCGTCGCACACTTGCGCAGGAGTGGGCCATTGAGGACAGCGCCGTGCGCGACGTGACGTTCCGGCGTTCTGCGCCCTGCGATGCAACAGCGCCACGCGCTAAATAATGCAAGGGCGCAGCGCGAAATGCGAGCACGCGCCATGCGGGCGCCCTGCACTACGCCGTGCCTCTTAGGAGCCCACGAAAGTGGTGACAGTCGCGCAGTTCGCAGCCACCCATGAAGAAGCAAAATCTCACATGCCCCACGTTGCGTTGCACTCAACCATGCCTCCCAGGAGCCCACGAACAAAGGGCGACGGTTGCGCATGTCGCAGCCTCCGACCCCGCTGGACCTCCCATGAACCCGCGAAAGTGGTGACAGTTGTGCACTTCGCAGCCACACAAGGAACAACGAGGTCTCGAATGGATGCGTGGATGCGCGTGGCCCCCGGCTCCGCTGGACCTCCCAGGAGCCCACAAAAGTGGCGACAGTTGCGAAGTTCGTGGTCACCCAGGGAGCAGCGAGGTCTTCCAGACGCACGTCGCCCCCGACTCCGCTGACCTCCCAGGAGCCCACGAAGGTGGTCAAAATTGCGCAGTTCGCAGCCACCCAGGAAGCAGCGAGGTCTCAAATGGATGCGCATGGCCTCCGACTCCGATGGACCTTCCAGGAGCCCACAGAAGTTGCGACACTTGCGGAGTTCGCAGCCACCCAGGGGCAACGAGGTCCTGTCTGGATGCGCGTGGCCTCCCGACTCCGCTGGACCTCCGGGGAGCCCACGAAAGTGTTGACATTTGCGCAGCTCGCCGCCCTCGACAGAGGGGGCACAGGATGCATGAGGAAACAGGCGGAGGAGAAGGAGATACGAGGCGATGAAGGAGGGGGAGGAGGAGGGAAGAGGAGGGAGATGCGCGAGCAGTGCTCTATTCAAAACGAGAACCCAACGCAGGAGGATAGGGCAACAGATGAAGAGCCAGATCGCGCAAATCCGATGTTAAGAATTACCCGGGACGTGCCCAACCCCTTCTGCTTGTGAGGCGGCGGTTAAAGTGAATGCATTTTACAAACTACCACCGTGCGAGATAGTCAACACTCGGGAAGGCGATACAAGATCGGGCCACGCACGTCGCACCACACCTGTTAATACCGAACGGGTGATAAAACTGGAGGAGCCCTAATAATACCCAGCTTCGTGGTACACATACGCGAGCTGCTTGCTGGAAGTCTCACCTGTCGGCTTCGCCGATAGGTTCTTTACGCTAACCTCAGCGAACTTCGCAGCGCAATCGGTGGACAACTCAACGCAAAACACCACGGGCAGCACGACCGAATCCAAATCGGCAATGGGCAAACTCACGCTATGAACCGTGCAGGAGTTGCATCCGAACATGGCGGTGGAGGCGGAGGAACGAGGCGGGCCCCATCGATCTGCCCACGCGTTCCTGCGGCTGCTGCTCACTCGGGGATGAGACAGGCCCGCAACAATACCCCCAAAACGGTTGCAGAGACCTAACTAACAGTCGTGAGGCAGAGATGCCTTTGACCTCCGCCATCAGCTGACGCCCTCCGAAACTTCTCTGCCTACAGACTACAAATGCGAGGAGCGGCTGGCATCTCGACCCGCGCGGGCGGCACGAGCATCTTCGGGACGGGATCGCTCGGGGACGGCGCGGCGGGTGGGCTGGCCGCGTCTCTGGGCGAGCGCGGCGCCGCGAGCGCGGCGCCAGGCACGTCTTCGGTGTAGGCGCGGCCCTGGGCGGCCCGCGCGCGCCCCTCGCGCGGCGCCGCGCGCAGGCGGAAGCGCCAGGAAGCGCCAGGCGGAAGCGGAAAAAACCACCCATAAGGCGGAAGCGCCCATCGCGCGGCCTGCGCGCGCCCCTCGCGCAGGCGGAAGCGCCAGCAGACCAGCGCCAGGGCCGGGAGCGCACACCCGACGCAGCAGCCCACCGTCAGGAAGATGACTACCATCACGGACGAGCCCTGGGCCTCGTGCGGCCCCGCCGCGGGGGCGTCGGCCGCCGTGTCCACGAGGCTGCCGGGACCCGTGATCAGGAGCACGGAGACGGAGAGCTCGCCCTCCCCGACGGTCGAGTCGATGGAATCCTGCAGAATGGCCTCGAAGTCGTCCACGCTGATGCTTTCGAGAGTCGACTTCACCACAGCAGCGTCACTACCCGCGGGAACGCGGATAATGTATGCCAGCTCGACGACGCTCTGGGAGAGCTGGCGCGGTGCAGCCCTGAGCCTCCGGGACTCCGCGAACGCCACGCTGACGTAGCTCGCTGGCACGCCGACGAGTTGAGCGAGAGTGCGGCCGCAAGAATCTAGCACCGCCTCTGCCTCCGTGCTGTTACGGATCTCGTCTGTACCCACGACGATGAGCTCAATCGACCCGCTTAGTTGAGATGGTGCCGCCGTGTTCGTTGTGGTGGTCACAGTGCTGCTCGTGCTTATCTCCGAGACCGTGCTGCCTGAGGTCGACGTCATGACACCGATACAAATGTACTGGTAGTTCTGGAAAGCCGCGGCTGTCTCGGAGGTGGAATCCCCAAAGTGAACAGCTGAGGCGTCCTCCACGTACACGCAAGTGAACGGCATGACCTCTCCAGTATAATCCTTAGTCGTAGCAGAGCTGAGGTCGAGCAGCACCATGGCAGGTCCAAAGCATTCCGCATGTTCTGTTACGTCCTGCATGCCGGCCTCGTAGCAGGTCTGGCCAGGGGGAAGCAGCGTGTAGTCCTGGTACGAGGTGGTCGTGGCTGACAACGTTACCGACAAGCTCGTGAGGCTGCTGGTCCCAGTCGTTCTGGTCACGCTGGTGCTGCTGGTTATGCTGGCGCTGGTGCGTGTGATGCTGCTGGTTCCTGTCACGGTGGTGCTGCTGGTTGCGGTAGGGGTGCTGTGCGTGGTGCTGCTGCTTGCAGTCGACGTCAGGACACCGATGCAGATGTACTGGTAGTTCTGGGAAGCCGCGGCTGTCTCGGAGGTGGAATCCCCAAAGTGAACAGCTGAGGCGTCCTCCACGTACACGCAAGTGAACGGCATGACCTCTCCAGTAAAATCCTTAGTCGTAGCAGAGCTGAGGTCGAGCAGCACCATGGCAGGTCCAAAGCATTCCGCATGTTCTGTTACGTCCTGCATGCCGGCCTCGTAGCAGGTCTGGCCAGGGGGAAGCAGCGTGTAGTCCTGGTACGAGGTGGTCGTGGCTGACAACGTTACCGACAAGCTCGTGAGGCTGCTGGTCCCAGTCGTTCTGGTCACGCTGGTGCTGCTGGTTATGCTGGCGCTGGTGCGTGTGATGCTGCTGGTTCCTGTCACGGTGGTGCTGCTGGTTGCGGTAGGGGTGCTGTGCGTGGTGCTGCTGCTTCCCGTCGTGCTGGTCACGGTGGTGCTGCTCGTTATGCTGGTGCTGCTGCGCGTGGTGCTGCTGCTTCTGGTCGTGCTGGTCACGGTGGTGCTGCTGGTTGCGCTAGTGATGCGGGTGGTGCTGCTGGTTCCCGTCGTGCTGGTCACGGTGGTGCTGCTGGTTGCGCTGCTGCTGCGCGTGGTGCTGCGCGTGCTGCTGCTGGTTATGCTGGCGCTGGTGCGTGTGATGCTGCTGGTTCCTGTCACGGTGGTGCTGCTGGTTGCGGTAGGGGTGCTGTGCGTGGTGCTGCTGCTTCCCGTCGTGCTGGTCACGGTGGTGCTGCTCGTTATGCTGGTGCTGCTGCTCGTGGTGCTGCTGGTTCCTGTCGTGCTGGTCACAGTGGTGCTGCTGGTTGCGCTAGTGGTGCTGGTCACAGCGGTGCTGCTGTTTGCGCTAGTGGTGCTGCGCGTGGTGGTGCTGCTTCTGGTCGTGCTGGTCACGGTGGTGCTGCTGGTTGCGCTAGCGGTGATGCGGGTGGTGCTGCTGGTTCCCGTCGTGCTGGTCACGGTGGTGCTGCTGGTTGCGCTGCTGCTGCGCGTGGTGCTGCTGCTTGCAGTCGACGTCAGGACACCGATGCAGATGTACTGGTAGTTCTGGGAAGCCGCGGCTGTCTCGGAGGTGGAATCCCCAAAGTGAACAGCTGAGGCGCCCTCCACGTACACGCAAGTGAACGGCATGAACTCTCCAGTATAATCCTTAGTCGTAGCAGAGCTGAGCTTGAGCAGCGCCATGGCAGGTCCAAAGCATTCCGCATGTCGGGTTACGTCCTGCATGTCGGCCTCGTAGCAGGTCTGGCCAGGGGGAAGCAGCGCGTAGTCCTGGTACGAGGTGCTGGTTGCGCTAGCGGTGCTGCGCGTGGTGCTGCTGCTTCCCGTCGTGCTGGTCACGGTGGTGCTGCTTGTTGCGCTGCTGCTGCGCGTGGTGCTGTTGCTTGCAGTCGACGTCAGGACACCGATGCAGATGTACTGGTAGTTCTGGGAAGCCGCGGCTGTCTCGGAGGTGGAATCCCCAAAGTGAACAGCTGAGGCGCCCTCCACGTACACGCAAGTGAACGGCATGAACTCTCCAGTATAATCCCTCGTCGCAGCAGAGCTGAGGTCGAGTACCGCCATTGCACGTCCGAAACACTCCGCATGTCTTGTTACGTCCTGCATGCCGGCCTCGTAGCAGGTCTGGCCAGGGGGAAGCAGCGTGTAGTCCTGGTACGAGGTGGTCGTGGCTGACAACGTTACCGACAAGCTCGTGAGGCTGCTGGTCCCAGTCGTTCTGGTCACGCTGGTGCTGCTGGTTATGCTGGCGCTGGTGCGTGTGATGCTGCTGGTTCCTGTCACGGTGGTGCTGCTGGTTGCGGTAGGGGTGCTGTGCGTGGTGCTGCTGCTTCCCGTCGTGCTGGTCACGGTGGTGCTGCTCGTTATGCTGGTGCTGCTGCACGTGGTGCTGCTGGTTCCTGTCGTGCTGGTCACAGTGGTGCTGCTGGTTGCGCTAGTGGTGCTGGTCACAGCGGTGCTGCTGTTTGCGCTAGTGGTGCTGCGCGTGGTGGTGCTGCTTCTGGTCGTGCTGGTCACGGTGGTGCTGCTGGTTGCGCTAGCGGTGATGCGGGTGGTGCTGCTGGTTCCCGTCGTGCTGGTCACGGTGGTGCTGCTGGTTGCGCTGCTGCTGCGCGTGGTGCTGCTGCTTGCAGTCGACGTCAGGACACCGATGCAGATGTACTGGTAGTTCTGGGAAGCCGCGGCTGTCTCGGAGGTGGAATCCCCAAAGTGAACAGCTGAGGCGCCCTCCACGTACACGCAAGTGAACGTCATGAACTCTCCAGTATAATCCTTAGTCGTAGCAGAGCTGAGCTTGAGCAGCGCCATGGCAGGTCCAAAGCATTCCGCATGTCGGGTTACGTCCTGCATGTCGGCCTCGTAGCAGGTCTGGCCAGGGGGAAGCAGCGCGTAGTCCTGGTACGAGGTGCTGGTTGCGCTAGCGGTGCTGCGCGTGGTGCTGCTGCTTCCCGTCGTGCTGGTCACGGTGGTGCTGCTGGTTGCGCTGCTGCTGCGCGTGGTGCTGCTGCTTGCAGTCGTGCTGGTCACGGTGGTGCTGCTGGCACTGCTGGTTGCGCTGCTGCTGCGCGTGGTTCTGCTGCTTGCAGTCGACGTCAGGACACCGATGCAGATGTACTGGTAGTTCTGGGAAGCCGCGGCTGTCTCGGAGGTGGAATCCCCAAAGTGAACAGCTGAGGCGCCCTCCACGTACACGCAAGTGAACGGCATGACCTCTCCAGTATAATCCTTAGTCGTAGCAGAGCTGAGCTTGAGCAGCACCATGGCAGGTCCAAAGCATTCCGCATGTTCTGTTACGTCCTGCATGCCGGCCTCGTAGCAGGTCTGGCCAGGGGGAAGCAGCGTGTAGTCCTGGTACGAGGTGGTCGTGGCTGACGACGACGCCGACACAGTCGTGCCAGTGGTAATCGTAGTTGTGTATATCCCTCTGCAGATGAATCGGTACTGATCGTTGCCATAGGTGTACGCGCTCTGCGTCTCCGCGAAGACCATCATGTCCAAGAGAACATCGTAGACGCAACGGATCCCACCATTCGGTCCAGAGAACACATACGTGCTGTTGGTGTCCACAGCGACCTCGGGCGCTGCGGTGACGAAACACTCCGTTGAGTCAAGGGGGTCGTCCAGGCCCACGTCGCTGCACGTCTGGCTTGGCGGTGCACGGTTTCCCCCGGGGTCGTAGGCGACCCGAGGAGGAGGAGGAGGAGGAGGAGGAGGAGGAGGAGGAGGAGGAGGAGGAGGTGGAGGTGGAGTAGGGGGAGGAGGATATGGAGATGGAGGAGGAAGAGGAGGAGGAGGAGGAGGAGGAGGAGAAGGAGGAGGAGGAGGGAGGAGGGGGAGGAGGGGGAGGATGAGGAGGAGGAGAGAGGAGGAGGACGGGTCGCCTAAGCCCTTCGGAGAAACCCTCCAGCCTGGCGGCAAGAGTGAATAGCCGGACGCCGCAGAGAACTCCCTGGCCGGTGGCAGCCCCGCGGGCGCGGCCCAGAAGAGCGCCCCCTCTCGGAGGGTGCGGTGCGCGGCGCGGCGGCCCGCGGCGCTCCCTGAACGGCCTGGCCCAGCTGGCAGGCCAGCTGGGGCAACAGCGCGCACTCTCGGTGCTGGCGCCGTGTCTGCCGCCGCCCCCGGGGCAGCCGATGCAGCGGGCGCCGCCGTCCAGGGCGCCCACACGGCACGCAGCGTCGCCCACGCCAGCAGCGCAGCCAGCATAGCGGAGCTGGCGGAAGGCCGTGGGAAGCGCGTGCTGGGCCGCTGGACCTTGAGCCCAAGCGGCTGCGGAGGTGACACAAGTGGAGCCGCGGGGTGGCCCTCGCGCCGCCCCGCGGAGAAGGACAGCTCCACCGCTCAGGCGGCGTCCCGCGCGAAGCGCCGTGATCTTCGGACCCCTGCGAGCGAGCTGCGTGGCCAGCAGGCTCAAGGCCCCGCCGCGCGAGGGAACGCCAAGGACGCTCAGTGGAACTCCAGGGTGAACATTTTTTATTCGGCGTTTCGACATTGGGCGGAAAGGGGGGGAGGAGGTGTCTGCCTCCGGACCTCTGCTTAGTGTGACTGTATGCAATAGTGCGCCCCGTGGGGGAGACTCCACCTGCTCGAAGCAGGCGCCCAAAAACAGCCAAGATCTACTCCATGGGCGGGGGGGGGAGGGGAGGGCACGCGCCGATCGGGAAAAATATTAATCAAAAGCGATCGCAGGGGAAACCGCCAGAGTCTGGGGAACGTTCATGAAATGGCTGGGGGAAGTCTGGGGGAAGTCCAGAAAAAGAACTGGGGGAATCCACGGCTGGAAACGAACACCTTGCGCTAACGAAGGAGCTGGCTCGTGCGGCGGAAAAAACAATGACCCTGCGCCAATTGGCCGGCTTACCGTTGGAACAAATCGCAACAACTCGCGCGGGGGCACGACATCCGCCTTCTCTGGGCAATGAATCAACTGCCACCCGCCTATCGCATCAGGGCCTCGTAACCGAGAAGCAACCATATTGTTGCACACGAAAGAGCGGCAGTCCTGGAGCAACACACATACACACTCATATACACATATAAGTACATCCCCAGGCCAACATTTTTTCCTCTTGAACTGAAGATATGAAAACATCAATGGATCCAATTGGATCCCTTTTCGGGTGTGGGAGAGTTTCGTGGATCCTATTTCTGTGTTGCGCGGATCCAATTTCCTGTGTAAAAAACGATGGATCCATTTATGTCCCGGGAGTTAATAGGAGCACCGCAAGTGAAGCATCATGCTATCCACGGAGCTGTGGATGTGCAGACCAATGCTATGATTCTACGGGGGAGGGGGGTCTTCCCAGGATGAAGAATGGAAGGATGAGGGAAGAGGCAAGAGGAGGTGGGAGGAGAACGGAGGGGATGCAGGGGGGGGGGAGAGGAGGAATAATCAGGGAAGAGAAGGGGGGGAGGAGGAAGGAAAAGGAGAAGGAGGAGGAAAAGGAGGATGAGGGAGGAGGGAGGAGAGAGGAGGGAGGCGGACGGACGAAGGAGGAAGGAGGAGGAGGGAGGAGGTGGGAGGAGGAGGGGGGAAGTGGGAGGAGGAGGAGGAGGATGAGGAGGAGAGGAAGGGATGAGGGAGGGCGAGGACACACAAGCAAAGTGTCCAAGTCGGAAGCTCGAGCGCCACAGCGGGCCCGGCCACCTCCCCTCACTTCTCCCATAACATGTGGTTGCTCGAGCGCCACCGCGGGCCTGGCCATCACCCGAAAGTCCTCCCATAACATAAGTTTGCTCGAACGCCACAGCGGGCCCGGCCAACTCCCGCATCTCCACCCATAACAGATCTACCCCACCTCGAAGCGAGCGCTACATGTATCCGCTCGCCTGAACGGCGCATCGCTTCCGACATGGGGTGCTCAGAGAAAAGTCTTTCGGCCTGCGGAAGTATATGAGTAAATATATACACATACAAGACTGCAGTGGCCCTTCGCGCCGTGCACCTTGGTCCTTGAAGATTGGGATGCAGGCGGAATAGCAGAAAAGGTCAAACCGACGATTTAGCGATAACTCCTTGTTGCCTTTTTCCGGCATCTGCGCTATAATAATGTTATTCGTTTCCTTCCTCCAGGCTTCTTTTTCTTCATTTTCGCCATACCCTGCACATTCTCCCCATCCTCCTCAGCTTTTTTTTTCGGGAGGCTCCTCCTTGGAGAGCCTCTGGGAGCCTCGCAAAAGTTGTTTCATGCTTTCTTAAGGCCTTCTGGATGCCTCCTGGGCGTATCCTGGGGGCCTGTGCGGGCTTCCTCGGGGCACCCTGCCTCCAACCGCGGTCTCCCTGAACGACCAGGTCACGATTTGGAATGCTTCGGAGGGTGTCTTGGGGCCATCTTGGGCCGCCATGGGGCTGTCTGAGGGCCATCTTGGACCCATGTTGCTGTTGTGCTGTTTTGGGGCTCTCTTGGACTGCCTGGAAGCCCTTTCGGATGGTTGTGGGGCGATTTTGCAGCCTCCAAGGCAGCCTCCCAGGCGGCTTCGGACGCCCAGAAGACCGCCGTCTTGGAGCGTCGGGAAACCGAAAAGAGGAGAACCCCCAAATTCACCAAAAGCCATCAGCCACTCAATGATGTTTGCCTCTTGGGGCCTTTTTGGTAGTGCTCTTGGAAGCCTCTTTGGGGCCGTCCTGGAGGCCTCTTGGGCCATCTTGAGGTCACGTCGGTCACTCTTGGAGCGCTCTTGTGTTGTCTTGGGGGTCGCTGGGACGTCTCCGATGACCCCCCTACGCCCTGCGAGGCCCGGGGGGCCGCTTCGAGGCCCGTTCAGAGGGTCCCAAAGCCCCAAATCCCGGGAGTCCGGTTTTGGGAGGGTGGGGGGTGGGGGGTTTTCCCCCCGCCCGGGCTTATAAAAATATAGGAAGAGGAATTCACACACACACACACACATCTCTCTCTCTCTCTCTATATATATGTATATGTATGTGCATATAGTTTGTTGTCAGACATACAACATATTCACAAACACACACTTATATAATACACATAAATATATACATATATATATACGTTTATCGTTTTGTATAGGTGTATATATATATATATATATATATATATATATATATATAGGTGTAGACATCTTCATACATACACATATATTATCCAATCAGTGCTTGCACTGAAGGGGTCCTCGCAGAAGTTGAAGGATTTGGCGAAAGTGTTCCACCGATTTTGGTCGCACGCTGGGTTCCCGGGTTCCTGGTTCCGGGTTCCCGGCTTCCCCGCTGCTGGTTCCGGGCCGATTTCGGAGGGCGGCGAGGTTCCCGGCTTCCCGGGTTCCTGGTCGATCTTCTCATCGATCGGTCTCGCCATCGATCTCATTACCCACTTCTCTATCGATCTCACCATCGATCTAGCAATCGATCCCTCTATCGATGTCCCGAAGCGCCGTGGACGGAGATGCCCTGCGCCCAGTGCCCGTAGATTGCAGCTGGATGCGAGCCTGTACGTCACAAACTTGCGGCGACCTCGCGGCTGCCATGGAGACGTCGCAACTTGTGAATGCTGCCAGCACGCAGCTCAGCAGCGGCCAATCGCCGCGGATACCTGCCGAGTTTCCGCGCGTTTCCTCCAACAGCGCCAACACCGCAGGTAACAACCGCACTAGTGACGTTGACAGGCATGCCCAATCTGTGAAGCTTTGGCACGCGGGGTAGCTTGCGCATGTAAAGCGGACGTGCGACGAGAAAGGCAAATTGTGCGAAACCAACAACGGCGTGTCCAGCTCCGTCGATTTCTCCTGCTACTCTTCTTCAGCGCCCCCCCGCCACCCCGCCGCGGCTACCGAACAGGCGCCGCGGCGCAGGGGCCAAGGCAGAGGGGAGGAGGGTGAGGAGAAACTGAAATGATCAACTATCATGATCTGGCCGCGGCCAAGCGGCCAAGCGCTAGCCCGCGCCCCGCGCACGAATCACAGTAGGCAGGGCATCAAGCAGAGACCCCTTCTGACCACATGATCTGTCCGCGGGCAGGACTTGGAATCTAATGGTTCGCGCTGACACAGTTGAAGCGACAGCCTTTATTCAGAACGGCTTGAACAACAAGTATACCGTACACAACAGATGACGACGCACGGCGCATGCAACAGCGAAAAAGAATAGGACGTGACTAAGCCGGAATACACGTAGAGGAACCCAGCGGCTGTTGTGCAGACCACTTGTGGTATGATCATTTCAGCGTCTGGCACGCTCATAGATGTAGCGATGTAGCGGCTAGAAACCATCCCACGCGCGCAAACACAAGAAGGGATCCGCCAAAGTAGGATGACCGAGGATAAAGACGGACTGCCAGCAAACCAACTCACAATTCAACATCATATGCATACGCAGAGACGAAAGAGGTTGCACTCGCGTCCACCGGGCGTCATGTCCCTTGCACTTTGGCCTACCAATTCACTCCGAAGTACTCTGACCGAGCGGTGAAAGCGTGAAACGAACTGAAATACGCTTCAGCAATCCAACACACGAAGGGCCTAAAGCCATTTGTGTGACGGGCAGGCAAATGTGGACTCTAAATCAGGGTGGCCGCAACACCACAAAAGGCATTACACATGGCAAGACACGCCCAGGCTACGTGATGCCCTCTATCTCGCATTGTCCCCTCCTTCTCCCATTCCTTCCTCCTCTACCTTTTCCCTCCTCCTGCTCCTCCTCCTCCTCCTGCTCACCTCTCCCTCTCCACCGCTCCTCTCCCCTCTCCTCCCCGGACCTCCGCTCTCCCGCCTCCTGCCCTCTCTAAAATCACTCGATCTGAATCCCATCCCACTCTCCTCTCCCATCGAGATGGCTGGGGGGGGGGGGGCGGGGGGGGGCCCGCCCCCCTTCGCGTACGGTGTTCTGAGAGACACAGGGTTCCTGTTGTTTGGTATGTCGCATGCTGTTGTGACGCAAGCTGGTCGCACCCATCCTTCAGAGTGGCACTCTCGCCCCAACGCTGGCCACGTTTCTGTATCCAAATCCTTCCTCATCGTTGTCACCGCCATCCTTTTCCCCTTCTCCGCTTTCCTCTGGTCCTCCTGCGCCTTCCGAACCTTCCACTCCAGCTCCTGCTGCTGTTCGTCCTCGACCTCGTCCTCGTCCTCGTCCTTACTCCTCCTTTTCCACCTGCTCATCCGCCACCTCCTACTCAGATGTACGACATGCCTGTCCTGCTTGCGAAGCACACGATGGAGTTCTTGTTGATATTCCAGGTCCGCTACGACACGCATACACGGATAGAGAAAACAACAGGTCGGAGTGGTAGGAGGGGTCGGATGCGAGATATGGCGCAGGCGCACCTATCTAGCCTCTTTTGTTCTCTCCCCCTCTCCCTTCCTTCTCTTTCGTTCTCGTCCTTTTGCTCGCTTCCCCCACTCCTGCGTCTCCCCCTCCTCCTCCTCCTCCTCCTCCTCCTCCTCCTCCTCCTCCTCCTCCTCCTCATCCTTCCCTCTTGTTTTTGTTCTCTCTCTGTCTCTCTCTCTCTCTCTCCCCTCTCTCCTCTCTCTGCTTCTTCTCTGTCCCACCCTCCTCTCTCATCGCCTCTCCTCTCCTCTCCTCCCATCTCCTATCATCGCCTCTCCTCTCCACACTACATGTTACTTCGCCTCCCGCACGGCTCCGCGAATCCCTCTCATCTCAGCAATCGTATCCCTTCTTGCCACTGCTAAGCGCCCGAACTCCTCGAACTCCTCCTCCTCCTCCTCATCCTCCTCCCCCGGCTCTCCCCACCATCCTATTCCTCCCCCGCACTTGTCATCGCAATCGTTCACCTCATCCGCCTCCTCCTCCTGCGCCTCCTCCTTCGCTTCCTCAGGAGAGAGACAACGACGACGACGAAAACGACTACGACGACGAAGACGAGGGCTCTCCGGCCGCCTCGGGATCATACGCCACGCTGCGTTTCCCGCCCATCGGGGGCCTGCCACCTGTGGGTCCAGGGGAGGGGGGGGGGAAGGAGACGAACACCTGCACGGGTCCTCTTCACCTCTTCCTCCTCCCCTTTCTCCTCCTCTGATTGCTTCTTCTGTTTCTGGGAGGGGGGAGGGTTGGGAACGAGGCCGACCTGCATAGCTGTCCTTCTCCGGGAGTGGTTGGAGGGCGAGGGGGCCGAAGGAGAATAGATAACACCCCACAGTTGCGGATACGAGTAAGGGGGCGGGCGCGGGGTGGGTCGCGGGTGGTGGGTCGCGGGTGGGTCGCGTGGGTCGCGGCTGGTTCGAGCGCAGGTCGTGGGTGGGTCGCGGGCTTGGTCGCGAATGGGAAAAAAAGGGCAACAACAATACCAACAATCATTCTAAAACTGTTCGCTCTTACTTGCCCGTGCGTCATTCAAAACGAGTTCCCCACACCCTCGATACCCGCCCTTTTTTGTCATCGGTCACCCCCCCTTTCGGGGGATTATTTCTCTTTGCGGGGGGCGGCGGGCTTAGACAGGCGGGCAAACCTGAACGGGCGGACAATCTTTCGTGGGCGTACATGTGCCCGCCGTTGGAATTGGTGTTGGCCCTGCAAAGAGGACGGGGAGAACGAGGGAGAGTGGGAGGAAAGGAGGGGGAGGGACGAAGGAAGACGGATAACGCCAGGAAAGACGGAGCGAAGAGGGGGGCGGTTGATTAGAGGCAGGGAGAGAGAGAGAGAGAGAGAAACAACAAAAAAAACATATGAGAGAGGTAGAGAAAGAGAGAGGGAGAGAGGGGGGAGAGAGAGAGAGAGAGAGAAAGAAAGAAAGAAAGAAAGAAAGCGGGAGGGAGGAGGCAACAGAGGGGAGGGAGAAGGGAGGAGGGAGAGGAGGGGGAGGGGACAGGGCAGAGAGGCATAAAGCATAAGGATGAGGGAAGAGAGGAGGGAGAGAGAAGGGAGGAGAGGAGGGAGGAGGGAGGAGGGAGAGGGAGGAGGAGCAGGAAGGTATGAGCGTGAACGTTCGAGGAAGTCCTAAGCGACAGCGCCGTTCCTGAAGGAAGTCTCGGGCGGGAGCCCACGACGGGCGGGCGATCCCCTGACGGGCGGTTCGGGCGGGTGGGACATTAAAGCGGGATGCCTGAGTATGGCGGGAGCGCGATTACTAAGTGTATTGTAGCGGCGTCCTTGGCGCAGCGTGTTTCCTGAACGTCAAAAGCGCGATTTCTGAATAATATGCATGGAAGTCACAAGCGAGAGCGCAAATCCTGAATAAAATGTGAACGGCTCTCTTGCGGGAGCGGGGGTCTTGATAACATTGCGAGGAAGTCTTGGCTCAATTGCGAGGAAGTCTCAAGCGGGAGTGCCGTTCCTGAGTACATTGTGAGGAAGTCTCAAGTGGAAGTCACAAGCGGGAGCACCGATCCTGAGTAAAGTGTAAGGAAGTCTCAGGACCGGGGGTCTTGAGTAAAATTGGAGGAAGTGTCAGGCGGGAGCCGTCGTTGTTGTAATCCAAGGGGGCAGGGGAGCAGTTTGAACACCAAGACCTTCCCAGTCAAAAAACAGGGTGCGAGCGTCGAGGGGCGCACTTTGATTGAGCAAAAACAATATGCACCGGCGAGGGGGGATCAACAATAATTCTAGACGCTTCGCGTATCCCCACCAGCCCGCCCAGAAATGAGTCCCAGGGGAGTGGAGGTTATGAGGGAAGCGGGGGAGCATGCAGAAGAACAAAGGGCGGGGTGAGCCGCCATATACCCCAAGAGAGGGAGGATGTAGGAGGAGCCGTCGTCGTCGGAGTAGGAGGAGGAAGAGGAGGAGCAGGAGGAGGAGCAGGAGGAGGAGGAGGAGGAGGAATAGAAGGAGGAGGAGATGGAGGACTGCGAGGACGAGAAGGAGGAAAAGGAGGAGGAGGAGGAGGAGGAGGAGGAGGAGGAGGAGGGGGAGGGGGAGGAGGGAGGAGGAAGAAAAAGAGGAGGAGGAGGAGGAGGAGGACAATTGCGAACTTGGGGGCCTCTTGGGCCGTCCTTGGGGCCTCTTGGCGGTCCCGGGGGCCTCTTGCGTATCTCGGGGAGCCTCTTGTGGCCTCTTGGGGGTCTCTTGGGGGCTTCTTGGAGGCCTCTTGGGGGCCTCTTGGGGCCTCTTGGGGCCCTCTTGGGGCGCTCTTGGGGCGCTCTTGGGAGCCTTCGAGGCGCTCTTGGGGCCATCTTGGAGGAGATCTATCAAAGAAGGGGGGGTCCCCAATTAGCGCTGCCCCTCTAGAGTGCCTCGAGTCGCCTCTTGGGCCCCCCCAAGAGGCCAAAATCCTTCCAAAACCTAGGTAAAATCAATGTTTTTTGTTTTCTCGCCTTTTCGCTCTTGGACCCGTCTTGGGAGCCTCTTGGGCCTCTTGGGGGTCTCTTGGGAGCCTTTTGGAGGCCTCTTGGGCGCCTCTTGGGGCCTCTTGGGGCGCTCTCGGGGCGCTCTTGGGGCGCTCTTGGGAGCCTTCGGGGCGCTCTTGGGGCCATCTTGCAGGAGATCGATCAGAGAAGAGGGGGTCCCCAATTAGCGTTGCCCCTCTAGAGTGCCTCGAGTCGCCTCTTGGGCCCCCCAAGAGGCCAAAATCCTTCCAAAACCTAGATAAAATCAATGTTTTCTGTTTTCTCGCCTTTTCGCTCTTGGAGCCGTCTTGGGCCATCTTGGACTCTCTTGGGGCCTCTTGGGGGTCTCTTGGCAACGTCTTGGAGGCTTCTTGGGGGCCTCTTGGGGTCTCTTGGGGCCCTCTTGAGGCGCTCTTGGGGCGCTCTTGGGAGCCTTCGGGGCGCTCTTTGGGCCATCTTGGAGGAGATCTATCAAAGAAGGGGGGGTTGCTTATTAGCCCCGCCCCTCCAGAGTGCCTCGAGTCGCCTCTTGGGCCCCCCCAAGATGCCAAAATCCTTCCAAAACCTAGGTAAAATCAATGTTTTGTGTTTTCTCGCCTGTTCGCTCTTGGAGCTGTCTTGGGCCATCTTGGACGCTCTGACACCTCGCGACCGGCCCCGTCCAGGTCAGTGGGGAGGGGTAAGGGGAGGGGTAAACCCCTCCCCGAAGGGGAAGAAGGGGGTTGGCAGAGGAAACTCCCTAGACCACCTACGCCCTAAAGGGCTGGCGGGATTTTCTTTCAGAAGTGAGAGTACCACAACAAGAACGATCATTTCAAGACTGTTCGCTCTTAACTGCTCGAGTGTCCTTTAACGCGCATTTCCCAAACCCTCGATACCCGCCCTCTTCGTCTTCGATCGTACCCCTTTTGGGGGGTATACCCTTCTTCCCTGCAGGCCAGGCCCCAGCAAGCGGCGGGGCGGCTGTGGACCGTCGGCCTGGCCAGCGGCAGCGCTGATCGGCGGCAACCTGACCCCAAGAGGGACGGAAAGGAGACCGACCACGAAGACGACGACGACGACGACGACGTCCACGACGACGACGGCGACGACGACGACGAGCGAAAGCGAGAGCGAGAGCGAGAGAGAGAGAGAGAGAGAGAGAGAACGACACCAGGGCCACGAAGGGCACGAAGTAGGCCACGAAGGGCGACAGCGGGGACACGAAGTGAATGCGTATGGGGCCACGAAAAGCGCGAACGAGCGGGGGCTACGAAGGGCAGATAATGCGGGGCCACAAAGGGCAACGACGGGGCCACTGAGGGTAGCAACTAGGCCACGTAGGACAGCGAGGGGACAACAAAGGGCGACAACGGGGCCACGAAAGGCATGCACATGGGGCCACGACGGGCGCGACCGAGCGGGGGCCACGAACGGCATACGTTTATTGGGCCGCGGAGGGCAAGGACGGGGCCACTGAGGCCAGCAACGGGGCCACGAAGGGCAGCGTTGGGGCCACGAAGGGCGACAGCGGGGCCACGAAGGGCATGCATCTGGGGCCACAACGGGCGCGCACGAGCGGGGGCCACGAAGGGTATACAGATACGGGGCCACGACGGAGAGCGAGGGGGCCACGAAGGGCTGCAACGGGGCCACGAAGGGCAGCGAAGGGGCCACGAAGGGCTGCAACGGGGCCACGAAGGGCAGCGAGGGGGCCACGAAGGGCTGCAACGGGGCCACGAAACAACGCGAGGGGGCCACGAAAGGGCTGCAACGGGACCGCAAAGGGCAGCGAGGGGGCCACGAAAGGGCTACGACGGGGCCACGAAGGGCAGCGAGGGGGCCACGAAGAGCTGCAACGGGGCCACGAAACACAGCGAGGGGGCAAGCAAGGGTTGCAACGGGGCCACGAAGGGCAGCGAGGGGGCCACGAAGGGCTGCAACGGGGCCACGAAACAAATCGAGGGGGCCACGAAAAGGCTGCAACAGGGCCACGAAGGGCAGCGAGGGGGCCACGAAGGGCTGCAACGGGTCCACGAAGGGCAGCGAGGAGGCTCCGAAGGGCTGCAACGGGGCCACGAAGGGCAGCGATATCCCGACTCCTCAATCATCTGTGAGGGAGTCCTAAGCGTGAGCGACAGTCCTGGGTGCCTGAATGTCGGGAGCGCGGCGCTTGAGTAAATCCCACCAGCCCTTTAGGGCGTAGGTGGTCTAGGGAGTTTCCTCTGCCAACCCCCTTCTTCCCCTTCGGGGAGGGGTTTACCCCTCCCCTTACCCCTCCCCACTGACCTGGACGGGGCCGGTCGCGAGGTGTCAGAGCGTCCAAGATGGCCCAAGACAGCTCCAAGAGCGAACAGGCGAGAAAACACAAAACATTGATTTTACCTAGGTTTTGGAAGGATTTTGGCATCTTGGGGGGGCCCAAGAGGCGACTCGAGGCACTCTGGAGGGGCGGGGCTAATAAGCAACCCCCCCTTCTTTGATAGATCTCCTCCAAGATGGCCCAAAGAGCGCCCCGAAGGCTCCCAAGAGCGCCCCAAGAGCGCCTCAAGAGGGCCCCAAGAGACCCCAAGAGGCCCCCAAGAAGCCTCCAAGACGTTGCCAAGAGACCCCCAAGAGGCCCCAAGAGAGTCCAAGATGGCCCAAGACGGCTCCAAGAGCGAAAAGGCGAGAAAACAACAAACATTGAT